GATGTAGATGAATTTTACCTATAATTGTATGTCACAAATAATCACTATCGCAAAGATCTTAATAACAAATAAAAGCGCATCGACTGTAATGATCATGGTATCTGTGACAGTATAAAAAACATTATGGAGATTGACCCCTCCCTCATTACCTAAAATTGTTACTCAGAAGCTTCTGAATGAGAGGCCATATGCTTTTTGTCGTTTTTCGTTTTGCTTTTCTGTTTTGTATACATATTTATGCAAGTTAGTATACCTAATGTTTCCGATGTTTGAATGTGTTTATATATGTATGCCTCTACTTGTTTGGAGGTATTTTTTGAATAAAATTGAATAAATTAAAAATAAAGATACATTAAAGAGATTCGATCTTTATCTCATTTCGTTTACCCCACATCCCACCGCATCTAAAAATAAGTATACAGCGTTATAATCAATCACAACTAATGCAATTTGAAAAAAAATATATGAAAATAAGAATTGTACTTACAAGTCCAGACTAAACACACACTATCTTGAGCAAATACCTCAAATGCACTGATGTAGAATGTTCAAACTTATTAAGCTCAACCACGGATGAAAGGGCATATTGAAGCATGCCGTAGTCTATTATGATTTTATATTCTACCTGTATGTACATAATACAAAAACGTCACTCATAGCACAGTATCTATCCTCCATGTTCACAATAACTGGAACAAAACTTGTTACAAGAATGCTATGGCTACAGTTTATACAAAATGCTTAGCACTCTACATAATTCATCACTTCAGTAGTTGGATCTAATTATTCTGAGTATGACTATGAGTTATAAGAGCCATGGTTCTTAACCTGGGGCATACTAACCTGTTGGGAGTCGGCAGGCGCCTTTAGATAATTTTCTTTTAATTTCAATTTTTACCATGATCAGAGTTATAACATAGCTTTAGAATTCCCTGAAAAAATACTAGCCCCTGTTCTTTATGAATTGCATCTCGAAGTCAGTTACTTCTATGAGTGTGGCCAAAACAGAACACACTTTTCCAAATAAAATATTAAACTTTAGCTCACACTTGTCTTTGATCATGATGATGATGATGATGATGATGATGATGAGGATGATGATGATGATGACGACGATGATGATGATGATGATGGTGGTGGTGGTGGTGGTGGTTGATTGGGGAGTGGTAATGGTTGATAGGGGAGTGGTAATGATCTTGATGGTGATTATAGTGATACGTTGTTGGTGATAGTGATAATGTGAAGGGATGGTTTAGGTAGGATACCGACAATTGTCAGGCAGTAAAAATGGAATCATGATACAACTTCAATTAAAGTTAAAGTAAAAGTCTCTAGTTGTTACTATTTCTTGTATAATACTTCGATAGATTTTAGTTCGAACAGGGACGTATTCAGTGGGGAACCATGGGAGCCGCGGCTCCCCCACCCCCTTTGACCACAGTGTTACAATTTTAAAGCTTGTTCATGCTAACCAATACAAATTATTTCCTGTGATCACTCAAAATGAATACTTTTAAAATATGTAAATAACACATAGGCCTGAGCGTGATTATTTTTACGCAAATTTCAATACAAATTGAACATGGTATGTCATAAATCATTTTGCTGTCCTAAGCTATGTGATAGTTATAGTCAGCTCTAAAGACGGCATGCCACTTTAAAGCAATAACACATTAAAGCAAAACAGGGAGTTTGGAGTTGACTATGCTGTACAATTTCTAATTGACTCCTTCTACTATAGGTTTGTACCTGTGCTCTGATAGAACCCAATATAACCGTCTATCAGTAAAAGTCTAACTTGATAATAACCCGATGAATATTCGTTAAATTGACCTTTTTTCACTATACACGATAACGAAAAAAATAATATGTTCAGGTTTATAACGACAGCTCAGGGGTACATTTATCAAACATCATCTTAAATTTGTCTTAAATCCATAAATCCCAGGCCAGGTCTTTTAGGATACAGATGATATTGTATGGTTTATGGTTTTTTATCATTTTGCAAGCTTTATAAATTTTTGTTAAATAATACCACTACACTGCTACTACTACTATTACTACTACTACTACTACTACTACTACTACTACTACTACTACTACTACTACTACTACTACTACTACTGCTGCTGCTGCTGCTGCTACTACTGCTACTACTGCTACTACTACTACTACTACCACTACTACTACTACTACTACTACTACTACTACTACTACTACTATACGGAGAAAAATCGTGCACTTTTGGAAGAAAGCATGAAACTTCCCACAGTGATGCTATGACACCTAAGGATCATTAAAATAAATAGACCCCAAAAAATAAGCCGCTTAGTGGCCGCCATCTTGAAATTCAAAATGGCCGCCAAAATATTGGATTTTTATCAACTTAATAATCTTCATATCTACAGCACCTCGCACTGTCATTCAAAGGTCTTTACCTATTATGCAAGTATGAGTATTATGCAATGCAATGAGTATTATGCAATCATCAGAAATTATCTCAGATGGCCGCCATATTTGATTTCAAGATGGCTGCCAAAATATTGTTATTTTTGTCATTATCATCATATCTAAAGTAACGTAACACAGTCAATCACACCTTTTACCATGTTTTTAATATTAGAGAGTATCATGCAATCATCAGGAAATTATGTTAGAAGGCTGTCATATTGGATCTCAAAATGGTTGCCAATCAAAGTTCCTTTTTCAGTTGTATGAAAAAGTTTCTCGAACGTGTAGCCACTTACTATCTCGGTGTCGTATCAGTAGGTCATATCAGCACACTACATAGTCCTATACGATAAAAGGGCCTATCTCACTCCCAGATACTTCTGTCATACGACTGATACCGTGCCTTTAGGCACATAATACTGCCTATTCATAATAGTAACAAATATTGCAATGGTGAATAGAATATATACAAAATATTCGTTTCCTGATAAATCCAACTAGGACACATTTTCAAACAACTGATGCATGGTTTAATTTCTCACTGGGATCACTTTTGTCTTTTTCATACAGTTGATAAAGAACTTTTTCTTTGATAGGTTATGCCTGATATGATCTTTACATCATTGTTCATTTAGCACTGTTTTTGTCATTTATACCACAGATTAGTTATACCACAATACTACACAGCAACATTGATTCTATATGTTACTTAATTATAATACATGTATGACTTCTAGGGTATTCTTTGGCAACAGTATATCACTTGTTTGAAGAAGTGTCCTGGTTGGGTTGTACCTGTGATATATCAGGGGTAAATATTCACTCACATTGACAGCAAGAAATCACATTTTAATTCTCGCCGCCATGGGCACATTTTCAAACAGTTGGTAGCTATTTCCCGATACGATACTCACATCACTTTTCATTTATTCAAGCTCTGTTTTCACAATTATTTAATTTTATAAAAAGAGTGCTACACACAAAAATTAATTATATATACAATATATATACACATATTTGAAAATGATATTTAGAAGTCTATTCGATATTAGTGCCTTCATACCATTACTTGAATGTGATATTTAATTTATGTCTACATAATTTCATTTATGCTAAAGTTATCTATATACTTTTCCTAATTTTTCTTTAGGTTTCTTTTATTTCTTTTCACTTTCTCCATTATATTCATTTTCTATTCTTTTTTTTTTTCTTTTCCCTTTCCAGTTGTTTCTTTTCCTTTCCGTTATTTCATTAATTTTCTTTTCCGTTTCTTTCCCTTTCAATATTTACATATGTTTATATATCATTTGAAAATGATAATTAGCCATCTCATAGACATGAGGTCTATTCAATATTAGTGTCTTCACACCATTAATTTTAATATTTGATTGATGTTTACATAATTTCATTTATGCTAAAACTAGCTTCAATATAAACAACGATGTTTAATATCTGCGTCTATCTCTCCTGCACTTGCTCTTATACCATACAAAACAGTTATTTGTTTATTTTTTTTATTTTCGTTACTTTCGATTGAATACCAATTTGTTATTCCTTAACTGTTTTCTATTAATTTTTTTTAAATTTCCATTTCTTTGATGTACCTTCCTTAATTGGCAATCATTCTGAAATCCAACGTGGCAGTTGTCAGACTTCTTTCTAAATGGTGTTACTTTACTGCCATAGGTAGGTCTCACTATGATTATGAGATGTTTGATGATTGCATGATATCCCTAATTATATAACACAATCTTGATTCACAGTGCTGGTACTTTACATATGTAAATATGGAAGAAAATATTTTGGCCTCAATCTTGATATCCAATATGGCAGCCATCTTGAAATTAAATATGGCGGCCTTCTGATAAAATCTCTGATATCTGCATGATACTCCCTGATATCGAAAACACGAGTAGATATCTTTGACAGTGCTAGGTGTTGTAGATATGCCGATATTTACAACATTATCAATAATTAATTTGGCGGCCATTTTTAAATCTAGTATGACAGCAATCTTGAAATTCAATGGTGGCATTCTGACATAATTTCCGATGGCTGAATGATAGTCCTTGATATCGAAAACATGGGTAACGGTCTTTGATTGACAGTGCTAAGTGCTGTAGATAAGATATTGACAAAAATATCAATAATTTGGCGGCCATCTTGAAATCCAATATGGCGGCGCCATCTGACATAATTTCTGATGATTGCA